AAGAAAATATCATAAAATCGAAATCTAATGATATTAGCAATATGTAATATGTGCTACATAGATGAATATACATGTGCATTTAGGGAATACTATTATAAATAAACATATAACATTGAAGAAAGTAAGAAATAAGAAAATTATATTTTACAAAATTACCAGAACCTTTTAATTCAAAAGTCATAAAAAGTTGGAACGAAGAAGAATTAACAAATACCTTAGGAGCTAGAATAAAATCGTTGCAATGATGGTTTATGGAACTATCTGAAAAACATAAAAACGAAATAAAAAAATATTAGTAAAAAATTTGGCATGTTGCCAAAATAAAACAGCACCTCAATTTGGTTGTACAGATAGGTATTATAAAAATAAAAATAATAAAAATACAACTCAAAATACAAATATAAAAGACCGAGAAGAAGATACTATGTAAAAAACTACAAAACAAAAAGACCAAAAAGAAAACTAGCAGAATGTACTTATTACAATTGTGGAAAATTAGGACATATAGCCAGGATTGTAAATTACCTAAAAATTCAAAGAAAAAACAAATATGAGAAATAATAATAAAGGATGAAAAATATACGTAGATAGAGTACATAAATTATGAATTAGAAAGTGAAGATAGCATACATGAACTATTAAATAATGAAATGGATAACAATATAGAGATGGAATCAGATAATGAATTCTATAATACAACAAATGACTAAAACATATATACAAATAATAAATAAAGAAGAAAATCAAGACAAAGAATTCTTAGAACAAAAAATAATATATTTGAACAAATAAAAGGAAAAGAATTAGATCTAAACATTGCAAAAATATTTGAAATACCAACAATAAGAAACTGGTTTAAACAACAACAAAAATATTATGTAGTAAGTCAAAGAGAACATATCATAGATTGCAAATACACTAAAAGAAAGGCTAAAATACCAATAATAAACAAACGAATAATAAATAAAGAAATACAAGACATTAAGGCTAAAAATCCAATAAATATGTACTTTTAGGAGGAACAAAAATACTAATAAAAGCATCTTTTAGAGAAGGAATAGATACACCCATAGAAATATACTTAGCGGATGATAGAATCATACAACCCATAAAAAAAAGTATAATAAGTGCAGTAAAAGATAACCTCATATATCAAAAATTTAAATTTATAATAAGTGTTAACTACTCAGTAGCAATAAATGACAGGAACATAGATAAATCACTTGTATTATATTGAAAAATATCGGGAATAAAACTAGCCCGAGAAGTAAAATATATATAGCAAGATGTAAAAAATTATATGTTTTAACAACAAAACATAAAATAACAGCAAAAAATAAAATAAAATAAATAAAAAGAGAAGATCCTTTTGAAAGGATATCAAGTCATAGATAAAAATGTTTATACTTATAATGAGATTGATATAGAAGAAGACTTAGAAATAGTAAAAGAAAGATTAAGCACATCAAAAAGAATAAACTGTGAAATAACACAAATATCATAAAAAATGAGTACCTCAAGAAGAATAGATAAAACTTCACAAAAATTCATGGAAGATGAAATAAAACCAGATCATTATTCCATAATAGAATAATGGAACAACAAAAATATTTAATATTAATAGATACAGGACGAGCAGAAAACTATATTACAAGAAAATTAGTAACGGGAGATGAAATAATAACTACTGAGCATTCATGCCTCGAACTACCAAAAACATTAATGTATACCGAAGAAACTATATAAAAGAAAATAATCATTGGAGGAGTACCAATAATAATAAAATTTAAAATATATCAAGGAGATGAAAATATTGTTTTAGGAATAAAATGGTTAGAACAAGTAAAACCATATAATCTAGAAGACAAAAAATTGATAATAAATTATAAAAATAAAAGAGTAATAGTAAAAAGAACTTTGGTAGGATAAAAATATGAAAATACATATACTTGCAAAGATAATAATAGAGGGATATTATAACAGATATTATACACCGACGATAGATACGAGAGTAGAAGCTAATATATGTAATACAATTGTTTATCGGAAGATAAATGAGAAAATTAATAACACCGATAGTAGTGACAAAATTTAATAATGAAGGAAGCATGATCACATATAAGGCAAAAAATATAAAAATACAAATATGGGATAAGATTTTGAATTGACTACAAAAGATATGCTATTAGGAATGCCTTTTTTAGAAAAATTATACCCACATATAATAACAAAAATACACTGGTAGTTCACAACACCATGTAAACAAAAAATAGGAGCAAAAAGAGTAAATAACAAAAAAAATGAAAAACAACAGAATGGATAAAAGGAAGTGAGAAAATTACGCAAAAGTTAGAAAATATAAAAGAAGAAGACCCTAAGATAGAATTAATTATATTCTCTATAAATAAAGTAAAAATAATCCAAGATAAGTTAGAATTATTATATAGTGAAGATCCTTTACAAGGACGGAAAAAACATAAAACAAAAGTGAAAATTGAGATAATTGATAATAATAGTATAATAACCCCAAAATCATTAAAATATAATTTTAATGATATAACCGAATTTAAGATACATATAAATGAATTATTAGAAAAAGAAAATATACAAGAACGCAATAGTAAGCACACAAGCCCGACATTTATAGTAAATAAACATAGTGAACAAAAAAGAGAAAAAAATAGAATGGTTATTGATTATAGAAATTTAAATGCAAAAACTAAAACATATAATTATCCGATACCAAATAAAATACTAAAGATAAGACAAATACAAGGATATAATTGTTTTAGCAAATTTGATTGTAAATCAGGATTTTATCACCTAAAACTAGAACAAGAGTCTAAAAAACTAACAACATTCACTGTACCACAAGAATTTTATGAATGCAATGTATTACCATTTGGATATAAAACGCACCAAAACACAAGATAAACATATAAGATTATTAAAAAAATTTATACATATAATAGAATATTCGGGTATAAGTCTAAGTAAAAAGAAAACAGATATAATGAAAAACCAAATAGAATCCTTAGGAATTCAAATAGATTAAAACGGAATAAAATGCAAAAACATATAGTACAAAAAATAATTAACTCAAATGAACAACTAGATACAAAAAGGAAATTACAATCATTATTCGGCCTAGTAAATCAAGTAAGAGAATACATACCAAAATTTGCAGAAAATTTGATACCATTACAACAAAAAATGAAGAAAGATATGAAATATCAGTTTGATAAAAAAGACCAATGACAGATACAAAAGGTAAAATTATTATGTAAAAACTTACCTAAACTATACTTTCCAGATGAAAACAAAAAATTTACTTATATAATAGAATATGATGTGAGTTAAAAAAGTTATGGTGGAATATTAAAATACAAGTATGATGTCAATTCAATAGAATATCATTGCAGGTATTATTCAGGAACATTTAATAATACAGAAATGAAATGGGAAATAAATAGAAAAGAATTATATTCAGATATAAGTGTTTATTATCATTTGAACCATGTATTGCATATAACAAATTCATTATAAGAACAAATAATACACAAGTAAAATGGTGGCTAACAAGAAAAATACAAGATTCGGTAACAACAAAAGAAATAAGGAGAATGATATTAAATATATTGAATTTCACATTTACAATTTAAGAAATAAAAACTAATAAAAATGTTATTGCAGATTACTTATCAAGACAAAGATACTCAGACTGAGACTAAGGGAGAAGATACAATTGAAAACATACTCGAAACTATTACTACACTTTGTAAAAAAAAAGATAGTATGGACAACGAGATATAAAAGCTAAAGACTAATGAAGATAATCTGAAGTCTAAAGCTAGCATAAGTCAGCAACATGACTGTAAAAATGTGTAACTATGTCAATCGGAAGAAAGAAAGAATCCAGAGCTAAACGGTGACGTTGGGAAACACCTAAATACCCATAACAATTGCTTAAATACAGCTACAGGTACAAGCCAACGAGTTAGTGAAAGATATAAGAATTCAAACTTAAACCAATTATTCGAAAAATCATTTACCTCGAGGCTAATACCAAAAAATATATTAACTACAGAACTACAACTTCTACGTACGCGGATAGCCTACACAATGACAAAAGAACATATAACCATATTACGCGAATCTATATAGAAAATACATACAAAATTCAAACGTTTTTAAACCTTAAACCCAGATCTACAACAACCCAAGAACCCAACCATGATTATTTAACCCAAAATTACAAGGTTATAATAAACTGATTGTGCAACCGAAAAGTAACGACAACTTAGTTAGGACATGTTATAACTATGGATTACTAAACACAGTATATATATATATGACGGAGAGGAACTAAGTGGAATGCCGGATATACATAAAGTATTTATTACATATAAGAGAGTTACTAAGAGAAATTTATTCTATGTAAAATTTTATACGGCAACAGCAGAGATATTATACGAGGAGATAAAACCTCCGATACAAGTAGTAAAGATAGGATTAACAAAAGATATGATAATGCCGGAAGATATTGAATAGCAACCATAAGTACAAAAAAGTGATACCAAGCTTCTATGACAATAAGAGAATAATTGGTATCTCAACCATTATACAAGAACTAGCAAATAATTATTTAAACGGAAATGCTATATGAAGCTACTATGAAAAATATCAGTTAATGATTTATTCCAATTCAAGGGAGCTAAGGAAAGCAGATATGGATGAAGTCCAGAGATTGATTTTATCATTACTTAAGACAGAAGAACGTCCTACAACACGAGTACTTAAAGTTGGATTTATTTCAAAAAAATTATTAACAAGGTATTGCAAGCTAATTGATCACAAATACCCTGATCACATATGTTCAAAATGCAACGGAGAAGATAATATAATCCCATACGTCCAGCTGGAATAAGAGATAAAGACGAAAACTGACAAGAAGATAAAGATAAAGATAAAGATAAAAGACAAAGACGGAAGATGACAAGAATATAAAAATGAAGATAAAAGATAAAGACGGAAGATGACAAGAAGATAAAGATAAAAGGAAACACAAAAACGTGTTTGGCCACATAAAGCTAAAAGTAGATATGTAAAAGTCTTGAAATAAATAGTAGTAGTCACATAACTTAGTCTACATATGCATGTGCATTATTAAAGATATGTTGACAAATGTAAAGTATGATAGGTAGGGTGTATTATTAAAAAGACAAGTGTAAAAGTAGCACGGTAGGAATAGTTGTAAAGTAAGTGTAGAGTATAGTAAGTGCAGTAAAATGCACTAATTCCTTTCTATATAAAGGAAGGAATATGTCATAAAGGGGGGCAAGTCCTGAAATATAAAATTTTCTTTTAAAAACACTCTCTCAACTAAAAAATTAGTATTTAGATAAATGGAGCAACAATCTGAAATTCAATTAGACATTTCAGATAGCATGAATACGCAAGAAACAAAGGTATATTTTTAAAAAAATATGCGGAACTAATTTCATATATTTCTGAATATCATTTATATGATTAAATAATTTTATTTCAGTTATTATGTATTAGAATTATTTGAATCATGATTTCTAGTTTATTAGCACACTGGAAAAAGGGAGAAAACTTCTATACTATTTCATCCTAATGTTGACACCGGTAGGCGAGGAAAGCCATTTAGGAGAGTAAACAAAGTTGAGGCGCTGATAAGAATGAAGTATCCGCTAAATTAAAATGCTAGTAGTGACAGGAAAACATGATAAACATATAATCTACTTCATAATAATCTAGTATAAATTTAATCAATTATGAATATGATAGGAAGGAATAATTGAAAACCCCCGCATAATAACAAACATGACCACATACAAACATGACAAAATGATAAAAAGTTATGAAACTTTGATCTTAAATATACTTCAAGGTATAGAAATAATTCAATTAAGAAGAATAATATGGAAAACAATATTTAATGATAACGAACCAGAAGATATATTAAATCAAATATGGTATGAACTAGACCTAAGAGATTTAGACTATGAAAAAATAGAATGGTATGATTTAGAAATAAATTCAGATTAAAATGAACTATGAATATTCACAATATTGGATAGAATCTATGGAAAATATAAAATTATTAGAACAATTAATGGAGGAAAATCTATATATGTACCAAATAACCCAACATTTGTTATATCTAGAATATATTATAAATAATATTAAGGAAATATTTAGATTAAAATAACAGATGAATTTCTTAACTACCAATTCTGCTACGACCATACAAAAATGGTAGAATATATCATAAATAATATTAAAGAAATATTTATATTAAAACAACTAATGAACTTCTTAACTACCAATTCTGCTACGACCATACAAAAATACATTGTTTCAGTAATGTAGGACTTGATGACTCTTCTCCTCCCGTTAGTGGCTAGTTGATTGTACTAGAGATTAGAAAACTTGGTGAGTCCTCATACTTTGAGGATGATGTCACTCCCATATGTTTTTCCTTATTCCCGTTTTTAGAGTTTGTATATGATGTATGGATTACGTCTCAATCACATCTTTTAATGTAATAGATACCTAGTTGACTCCACTTTTGTCAAACTCTTTATATGCAATTTCCATCTTTTAATGTCTTTAATATGCTAAGTGATTTGTGTACTACCTTTCGAATATGTTATGTCATGTCTGGGATGTACTTTGAATTGTGACAATTATGAACGAAAACATTTCCATCATGCCATAAACTTTGTACATATCAGAGCATCAATATATACATCTCGTGAAATGAAATTAATTATGTATGCAAAATATATGGCACACAAAAATGCATGAAAATAATCTGCTCAACCCACTTAGCATAAGGTATATGAAATATCTATAAGAAAAATCCTATCTTGTAAATCAATAAGAATAATATACTCTTAAGGAGTCGACTATATTTAATTACTGATTGAACAATAAAGTATCAAAGAGAAACAGAGATAATCAACTAAATACGCAATGTGACACCCAGTATTTCCATAAGCTCTCATTAGCTTCCCTATACATTATTCAAGGATATATGGTATAATCCATTTATCATTTAGCTATTTTTTTTTATCGAACACAAAATAACTTATCTGTAAAAGATAGCTTATAGAGATTGAATTATATGTCGTGAAGGAGCCAAGTCCTTCACATTGTACTTGAGGGGACTGTCAATCAAATTAAAAAATATTATAAGTGCAAAGAAGTATTTCTTAGGATATTAGAATTGCGACAATCTTAGTGAAAGAAGGAGAAAGATTAGTATGGAAATTTTACCATATATACAAAAGAAGAAGTATGCTTCAAAAAATATGGTAATTTCTTGGACTGTGATAGATTATTTTTCTTAGAGAATCCCTATGGAGTCTCTGTAGTTGACACTAATTCTGTTTTTCATTTTTTCTTACACTAGAATATTGGAAGCTTTTTTTTTCCCTCGTAAGCATCACGTGTGGTTTAAACATCATTACTTCACTCATCGTACAAGCATCACTTGAAGTGTAAAATATTAAATCTTTTATTGTTATCATTATGGATTAAGTTAAGCAACCCAGATCATTGTATGAACATGTTTCTCATCAAAGTACTTACCAACACTTCTAAGTTGAGGCACCATTTTAGTCGTCACTCGTATTTTTTGTTTGATACAGTGATTATCTCAATTCTTCAATGTGCAAATTAAATTGTAAACTATTTTCGGTGAGTTTGTACTATATTATCATACTTCTCTCATTATTGTGTATACATTGCACGAGTAGTAACATATTGCCTACATTTTAGATGAAAGCACCAACAACAAAATCTACAGAAATAGTACTACATTCTTCTTACTTTTTTCAATATAAATATTGTCCACATTCAAGATCTCTCATACGTTAGGCAGTGGTACCCTCCTCTGGGTGTCACATCCCAAGATTGATACTCTTCAGAGCGTTTTACTTTTTCAATATAAATCATATTTTATGACTTCATATATTATAATTTTTTTCGTACAACTTATCGTCATTTTTAATATGTGAAATTATACTTCTTGAAGTTATGATATTGTTATACTTCTAAGTGCAAATTATGTCAGAGAAACTCATAAATAATGCATGTGATATACACACTCAAGAAAATCAAAATTAGTAATATAGAATTGAAAGTCATAAAATTTTCAATCATCACTTAAATATCAAACAAAAATTAAAATTAATTCTTAGTATGTGTATACCCGTAGCGGAAAAAATTAAAATTATTTCAATCATCACAAATCATATGATTACTTGTATATATTACATGTGATCTTTCTCATTACGTTGGTGATCACGATTTATAATACTAGCAGCCAAAATGTTAGCTAGATTGTCTATAAGAGATGATTGATAAAAATTAGACCTAAGACCGGTCCACAAAAGCCAATATATCTATAGTTTAGCTTCTATATCTACTTTTTCCTCCAACTTGACTTTAAATGCATACATATATGTCAAATAGTCTACCTTTAGACCAAAGACAAATATAAATATTAATCATTACTTCTAGTTATGTAGAAGAGAAAAAGCAAAATTGAAAGAAAGCTTTTGAATCCAAGACCAATATAAACGATAAGTCAATTATTCTTGCTTTATATTAAATAACTATATTCCAGTATAGAAGAAGAAGGCAGCATTTGGATATTACTCATATTTTAATCCGCTCCTTTCAAGCTCATTGATCCCTAAAGATAGTTTGAGTAGAACTTGAAACATCAGTTCTAATAATTTTATAATCAGGATCATTTTTATTATTGTCCTTCATCGATGAACTCTTCTTTGTTGTCTTCTTACTTGATTGTTAGTAGCACTGAACAGTTGGAGTACTTCGTATTTGTCCTTGTCCAACCATTTCTAAAATAAAAACAAAGAAATAAGTATGTTTTAACACCTATTATTATTTCTCTGTTTTCATTTTAAAAATGGTTGGATAAGGATGGACATGAAGTACTTCAAGTGTCAATGCTACTAACAATCACGTAAGAAGACAACATAGAAGAGTTAATCGACGAAGGAGAATAATTAGTAATGATTCTGATTGTGAAATTATTAGAACTGATTTTCCAAGTTCTATTTAAAATATCTTAAGGGATCAAAGAGCTTCAAAGAGGGAGGAGAATAAAATATGAGGAATACCAAATGGAGCTTTCTTCTTCCATACTAGAATATATTTAATATGAAACAAGAAAATTGACTTCTCATTTATATCGGTATTAGACAAGGATGGACACAAAGTACTCATACTCTAAGTGGTACTAACAATCAAGCAATAAGACATCATAGAAGAGTTCATCAACGACGGACAATAATGAGTAACTCTGACATAATTGTCGCTTATATAAATAGGCAGATTATGAATTCAAAAAGTAAAATTTTATATGTTAACAAACATGACAATTTGTACGACAAAAAATATTATATATGAAGCCATAAGATATGATTTGTATTTAAAAGGCAAGATTTTCTAAAAAGTATAAACCTTGTGATGTATACTCTACAAAACTAGTGAAACCTTCTCCAAATTCAAGCCTCAACCCCATTCGACCAAAATTTGTCATATTATACATCCAACTACGATCAAAGGTCACAAAATTAAAATTTATTAAACCTTAAATTTAGTAATATTTTACAATCTTGTAACAAAGTAGTGGAACTCATTGTGTCATATATTTACTTCATTTATAAAGTCAAACAATCTTAGAAAGTGGACTGAGAGTTAGGAACTTTAGGAGTAAGTTTAGGAGTTTTTTTAGTGAAATAAAAACACTATTAGTTAAGAATTATATTAGAATTAGGAGTTTGTTAATACACACTTCGTTTTCTTTTTTAATTCAGAAACTATATTTTGTATTAATAATAGCTTTCAGTTGTTTATTTTCTTTTCCTTTTGAACTTTTTTTGTTTCATTATTATTGCCTATCTCTTTCTCCTATTAGAAAAGTTTTAAAGTGTGAAGGGAAAGATTTTGTCTTTTGTAGCAATGAAAGCCTCGAACAGAGGATTTACTCAATATGGAGTAGAAAAACCGATAGGAACTAAGTAAAAGTATTGGACAATGTGTATGGAAGAATAGCATAAAGTTTTGGATCTATGGGATTTGTTTGTAGGAACTGATTCAACAATCCCAGTCGATACTCATGAGAATGGCGAATCATAAAAGAAATTGAACATCAAGTACAAAAAATCTCTCTTTGCTTTGAGGACTTCTATTAGCAAGGAATTGATTGATCATGTTCGTGATGTTAGCTCCCCAAAAGAAGTTTGGGACATGCTCGAATGGTTTTTTACCAAGAAAAATACAACAAGGCTTCAACTTTTGGAGAACGGGTTGGGAATGTTAAAAGTATATGTGCTGAAATTTCAGGCATTCATCCTGAAGAGAAGATCAAGGAGCCATGCGTACGGCACTATCTTATTCGTGGATTGAAAAAGGAGTACGGTCCTTTTGTCACTTCCATTCAAGGATGGCCGCAACAACCCTTATCTAAGAATTGGAGAACATGTTTTCTAATAAAGAATCTTTAGCTAAGCAAATAGCTAAGAACCTTGAATCCGATAATGTTCTATTTTCTAAAAGAAAGTCGAACAATATGAATGCATCAACTTGGAATAAATATAAAGAGGAAGAAACAAGACTCGGAAAAGGAGGAAATAAACAATAAAAAGTGCTATAGATGTGAAAAAATTAGGCACATCAAGAAAAATTATCGAGTAAAACTTTTCCAAGACAAATGTCCTGTGCACCAACAAAGGAGATGAGCAAATAAAATGGAAGCAATGTTTTAACATCAAAGTTATTGAACAGAAAATAGCACAAGATTTTGTCAATTATGACAATAATAATAAGAGGGGAGGGTGGATAGTTTATGCAGAGAGTCTCTTAGAGGGTTTCGACATGCGGGAGTCGAAAGAAAAGACCACTCCAATGGAATTAAATCTCAAGTTGAAGAAGGATATAGGCCAGTCTTTGAAGGATGCGGTGAAGTTTCAACAACTATTTGGAAGTTTGATCTATCTGACTATCACACAACCAACAATATGTTATTCAATTGTTGTTGTTTCTCAGTTTATGCACACCCAATAACTTCTCATTTAGATGCAGCAAAAAGGATTTTACGCTATGTGAAGGAATCTCTTAGTCATGGACTTTGGTACAAGAGGTGTGGAATTTTTTTTATTGAGTGGGTTTACTAATTCATGTTGGGGATGTGATTGAAATGATCGTCGTTTGACTTCTGTTTACTGTTTTAGTACGGGTTCTGCAGTGGTATCTTGGTGCAACAAGAAGCAAGATGTTGTTTTGTCTACCACCGAAGCTGAATATATTTCAGCAACCATGGCTGGACAAAGAGTGTATTTTCCAGAAAATATTGCTCGAAGACATGTCCCAAAAAGTAGGCTATGATGTGAAAATCAAGTGTGACAATAAAAGTGCCATCAAACTTGCATCATTTAAAGTTTTTCATGCTCGAACGAAGCATATTGAGATCCTCCATCATTTTTTTTGTGAGAAAGTTCTAAGTTAAGAGATTGAACTAACAACTATTTAAACCAACACTCAAGTTGCTCATATATTCATTAAAGCTTCGGAGAAGTCTAAGATTCTATACTTTTGAGATGCTCTGGGAGTTGTTGATCATGAGCTTTCACTAAGCGAGAGTGTAACAAATTAGTGTAACTTATTGTGTTATTTGTTTACTGCATTTACGAAGTCAAAACAGTCTTAGAAAGTGGCCTAAGAGTTAGGAACTTTCAGAGTAAATTTAGGAATTTGTTTGGTGGAATAAAAACACTATTAGTTAGGATTTATATTAGAAGTAGGAGTGAGTTAATACAGAGTTGGATTTCTCTTGTAATTCAGAAACTATATTTTCTAATCAAGAAGGCTTTCTGCTGTTTTGTTTCTTTTCCTTTTTATTGTTCCTCTTACCTTTCTTCTGTTAAAAATCCTTAAAATCAAATACAATTCTAGGTCATCATACCTTGCACCATTAGAGAATCATAACCTCTATATTTGAGTGTTAAGGAAATTAGTTATTCACTCATATCCTAACCAAAGGGGAAAAGTCACTTTTTATTTCTTTCTCGTGAACTTATTTTCTTATCTATTCAAACCTTAATCTTTAGAAGCTTATTTCTTTTAAAAAAGACAAACACAAAATTGATTTGCAATTATACGCAATATCCAACAACTAATATAAATTTAAAACTCATCTAACAAATTTTCGCTCTAGTAAAATATGTCATAGAATATCTAAAATAAAATCGAAGGGTGTTGAAAAAAATCATGTGTAGCCCTGAAGCTTTTAGCAAATATTCAGCCAATTTGATGAAAAAGATAACAAGAATTAGGGGAAACGATGCTTGCAATAAATCAAGAGAGAGAGAGTTAGGGGCTAATTATGCTTCCAACAAATAAACAACCTAGTTAAAAGATTTAAGGATTTAACTTTTAGAATATTTTTTACAGTTACCTAATTCTTCTCTTCATGTTGATTGAAAGTAGTTGTCCTCAAACTCAAAACCTGTGTACATGAGTACAAACCATGTCATCCAAAAGCTAAGACTAATAGAAAATAAACACTTCTATTTATACATATTAGGTCTATTGCATTATTAATCAATAGCTCAAGTAGATGGAAGGACATTTATTTCATGTAATTTAAGTCATATACTAACAAAAGTTGTTTATTATCCATACTCATATGGTTCGTATATGCTATGAAACATGAAAATTCATGAAGGAAAAAGAGAAGTGCAACTGACTATTAATGACCAAAAAAGCAAAAAATTTTCATAACTCAAACATTGAGTTACCATCAGTATAGTTGAATGACACATTGTTGAAGAAGGATTAGAATCAGGTTCTTTCTTAAAGTGTAATTTCTTTACAACGTATGTGGAAATATATGGACAGTAGCCTTTCACCTGATAATTGAGACAAATAATTGACAGTTAA